CTCCAAGTTATTTTTTTAAATTTTATTTAAAGCATCCTATGGGATCCTGCACTCTGGATCTTGGGAATCCACAGAGAAGTGTGGACAACATTCCTCCACACAGCCCTGCCAGCCTTCAGAGCCCACCAGGCATCAGCTGGGTCAAGCTGGCACTGCTGGGCTGGATAGGGGAAGCAAAACCCACAGAAACTGCCACAGGTTCAGAGTGGATTCCCAGAGCCTGCACTGGGAATGGCTCCGTGCACCACTCTGGGCACGGAAACTGGTGCTGGCAGGAGGGCAGGGACGAGGAGAGCAGGGAGCAGCCAGGGAGACACCCTGGACACTGTTTGCCCTCTTGGGACACAGAGATCCAAACCGAAGCGGGATCATTAAACGGCTGCTCCAAGGATGTCAGGGCAGGATTGTGCTGATGCTGAGCTGAGGTGGGATGGGCAGAGCGGGAAGAGAAGCGGCCCCGATCGATCGCTGCCCCAACACGGGGAACAGGAACGCCGTGAGCCGGGGCTGCCCCGCGCCAGGGATTGCACTGGAGCGAGCAGACACCGATGAGTCAGAGGATTCGGGCACAATGGGAAGCGCGGGCTCAGCAGGGCCGGGACACGCAGGGACAGGGACAGGGACATGCCGGGATGGGGCCTTGAGGCTGCATCACCCTGAGCAAACCGGAAAAGAGGGAAAATCGTGGCTTTCTTCATCCTGGTGGTAGGGAGAGGAAGGAAATGGGTGAATTCGTGGCAGCGTGCATGGAGAGGGCTCTCCACGCGTCCTCCTCCTGCTGGCAGCTGGACACGGCGCTGTCCTGCACTCCCCAGTGGTGCTGGCATTGTACCAGGGACCACATCCCAGCCTGCTGCTTCCCCAAGGCACCCCCACTTCCCTCCTGCCCACTGCTCACTGCCTTCTCATCACTTCCGCTGCCTTTCCCGTTGTAGAGATTTCCCTTTTTTATAACCCCCCCCAAAAAGCAAATGCAGGAGCACAAGAGGAATAAAGAAACAGCCACACCAAAGCAGGAGCCTTGTTTCACCTCCTCATCTGAGTCACCCCAATAAGCCCTCGGCTGCTCCCACATTCCTCATGGGAGCTGGTGAGGGCAGGAATAACTGGCACAGGATAATTACAGTGAAGATCAAAGTGCTGCCTGGGCATAAGGTCCCACAGCTCACAGGGATGGGAGAAACCTCCCACAGCAAACCCAGAGTGGACTCAGACATCCATCCCACAGGGGAATTTGGGAAACATCTTCCAAAAACATCTCCACAGGCCAAAATAGCTGGACAGAATTTCAGCCACCGCTTTCTCTGCTCACTGTTATCTTCCACTTCACACAGGAGGGAGAAGCTGATCCTCAGAAGAAGACACCAAACTTGGACACAAATGTGGACCCCCATCACCCTGGAGGTCCTGGTCACTCCCTGGGGCTCAGACTCAGGGCTGGAAACCACAGCCCTGGCTGCCCACGGGTGCAGGAACAGGAGCTCCAGGGCCTCTGTGCTGCACAAACCTCATGGTTTGCGTGGCCTCAGAAAAGAAACTTTCTTTATTTGTTTCAGGATGTGAAAGGAGACCACAGGACCGTGGTCCCACGTCTTCCCCACCCTGAGATGACAGGACACTGCACCAGCAGCAAGCAGATCAAAGTCACACCATTTCAGGGGGGAAGGCTGGGATCCCTCTCCCAGCATCCCACACACTCTACAGGCACTCGTGGGGCAGTGCTGGGAACATGTGCTGGGCCAAGGAGCCACATCCACACCACCACTGCCACCAAGGAGTGTCCCCATGCCCCGGGTCGGGCTGCCAAAACACCTGGGGTTTGAAATCATGAGATCCCTGAATGGTCTGGGGTGGAAGGGACCTCAAAGCTCATCTTGTTCCACCCCCTGCCATGGGCAGGGACACATTCCACTATCCCAGGCTGCTCCAAGCCCCATCCAACCTGGCCCTGGACACTTCCAGGGGCAGCCACAGCTGCTCTGGGCACCCTGTGCCAGGGCCTCACCACCCTCACAGCCAAAAATTTCTCCCTAATATCCAGTCTAACCCTGGCCTCTGGCAGTGAGGAGCCATTCCCTCTGGTCCAGGCCAGAGCCCCATGGGGTGGGGGCCAGGTGCAGCAGGGATGGGAGAGCCCCTGGATGTGACCTCCTGTCACTGAGCTGGTGAGTGACAATCACCCTGCCGTTGTCACGGTGCTGTTTAACTCCTTGGCTGGGGTCAGGAAATGGCACAACAGCAGCAGCCACAGAATGAAGCCAAGACACCGTTTAACGGAGCTGTTTGCCCAAGGACCAGGAGCTCACCACAGCTGGGGGGAGCAGAACCACAGGAATAAAAACTCTTAATGCTGCAGGCAAGAAATGTCATTTTCTAAGAGAAAAATCCATTTGTCCAAGACTTACATGCCATGGAAAATGATTACACAGCTGGAGTGGACACTTTCCCAAGCAAAGCCAGCAGCCCTGTGGGATGTGTGGGAGCAGGTCCTGGCCTCACACAGTCCCAGGGGGCTTTGCAGCAGCACCGGGAATCACTCATGGATGGCTGGGTCTGGACACCAGCACTCTTTCTGGCAGCTACCCTGCATCTCCTGCTTGTCCTGGAAAAGGGAAAAATACTCATGGAGCATCATGGGTCCTGCAGTTCGTGACTGATCCCATGACAAGAAGCCATCAGTGATTGATGTGGCTGTGCTGAGCTGGCATTGCACACTGTGGAACTGGAACAGCTCCACTGGCTGTCACAGCCAGCAGTGAGCAGCCCAGCAAAGCTCCAGAGGCATCAAGGGATGGTGGCACTGCCATTGCTGTCACCAGAGGGACCCTTCAGGGCTGACCCAGCACAGGAGCACCACGGCTCTCCCTGGAAAATCACACGTGACCTCTGCACCCACAGCCCACACAGTTTCCCATGGCTTGAGCTGGTGTTGAAACCCTGCCAGAAAATTATCCACAATTTAAGCATGACTTTAGGCAAATGCCTCAAACTCCCAAATGTCTCTGCCTGTGACACCAAACCAGCTCCCATGGCAGCAGCACAGGGAGGTTTCTGCTCTCTCTTGTGAGGACACAACCAAATCTCAGCAAGGTGAGGCATAGGGTGGGTCCCCAGCTGGGATGTGGTGGATTTGGGGCTACTGGTTCCCACCACAGCCAGCCTGGAGGCAGAGCCCCAGGATGAGCTCTCTCACATGGGGCAGATTTGTGCTGACATAGCAGGAATGATGGCAGGGATAGGAGTTCTCCAGATCACCTGCTGGGCCCCAGAGACCAGGCAGAGCCTGACTGTCACAGCCAGACTTCTCCACAGAGCCCCTGTGTTTAATGGAAGTGGCACCAAAACTCTCTCTAAGGAATCAGGACAAATCCAACTGGGACAAACAGGACAGGTGAGAGAACAGAGAGGCTGGCAAGAAGCAGATCACCACCTCCCTCATATCCCATTTTCCATGAGGGCTCCACACCCTCTCCTAGCTCAGAGCAGGCAGCCACCAGCCTCTCCAGACACGGTGGAGCTGAGCCCCAGTAGGATCCCATCCCCCTTCCCAAAAGCCCTTTTTATCTCCCCAAAAAGCAGCTGTTTCACGTGGTGGCTCTGGGGACAGGCGGCCCCTCCCTGCTGCCCTGGTTAGCAGTGGTTTCCTCCCCACAGCTGCAGAGCAGCAGCAGTTGGGTTTTACATCCCCCTTTGCCGGGTGCAGCCGGTGACAGGAGGTGACGCAGGGGGTGACAGAACCCAGCACCCTCCCCACGAGGTCCCTGTCACCCAGCGACAGTCACAGCCTGAGCAATGCAGGCCCGAAGTTGAGGGCACAGCAGAACAGCAGCCAGTAGGGAAGAAAAAGCACAACTTCCTCCCTTTTTCTTCTGAAGAGATCTGAACCCTGTGCAAAAGGAAGTGCTGATAGCACATGCCCTGTAGATAAAAGTTATTCCATCAGCTCCAAACCCTTGGGAAAGGCTGCTCCCCTCTGCATCACCCTCACTACCAAACAGGGTGGCACAGTGTCCCAGTGTGACACCATCCCTTTGTGTTTTGGGACATCACCCCCTACCACTGCTGGGATTTGGGAATCTTTTCCTCGTTTTTCTGCAATAAGAGCCTCCACCCGGGAAGCCAGGTTGGTGTAAACATTCCAGTAAATCCCTTCCTGCAGGCCACTGGGTAATTAAGGAGCTCTTTTCATAACAAGGTAACAAATAACACGTGTGGTTTGACAAATGAGGTTCTCACGTTCGCTAATCACCGCTGCTGTGCTCGGCAAGCCAGGACAGTGTTTTAGGATGTGGGAAGTTTGCAAGGAATTCTCTTACTGGGGATGAAAAAAACTCCTTGGAGCCTTCAAACGAAGCTCTTCCCAACCCAACAGTTTTTTTAGAGAAAACTCAGCCACAGTAACTCGTGCCTCTGTCACAGACCCAACTTCCACAGCTGCAAAGTGAGAATTCCTGCAAATTCCTCCTCTCAGCCACCACTGTGCTCCAAGAGGCAGAAACACCGAGAGCCACAAGGAACCTGCTCACCAGAGTAACCTGAAGGTGTCAAACTTGAACACTGCGGATCTTTACACAAGAACAGCACAGGTGAAAACAAGGCAGAACGATTTTGCACAGGCACATTTTATCTGTGCAGCAACCACCACCACCACAGCCCCAGCTCCTGGAATGAGCCTCCCACGTGCTCTGGGAATGACACAGGAACCACAGGATGAATGAACAACCCACCACCACCTGAAACCCATCTCCCGTGCCAAAGTTTTATTGAGTCGAGCCGCTCCCGGAGTTTTTCCCCTCTCGGAGGTTCCAGCGCGGTGCCCTGGGCTGCAGAGGCAGCAGCAGAGCCCCCAGCGCTGCTCCGGGGCCGCTCCCGCTGCATTCCCGCTCCGTTCCCCGCCTCCCCGGGCCGCACACACGGCCAGCCCACAGCTGTGCTGCCGGAAGGCGCTGTCACACACCTCGGCTGCTCAGTCCGCCAGCGAGAAGCTGCTCGGGGCAGATGAGTCACAACCACACCGCAGACAGTCCCACTGTGATGTTATCCCATCCTCTCTTCTCCAGAGCTCTGCCAGGGGACACATCCTGTGCTCAAAGATCTCACGATGGGGAATTCTGTCGAGAGATTGTCACAAAGATGACTTATTTTTTTTTTTAAGTTGGCCTGGTTTTGTTCAAGAGCTGAGTCTGCACGTTGTGTCAGCACAATATGCAAAATATTTTCTTCACACTTCATCAGTTAACCCCAGAATGATCAAAGCAATCCTGGCAGCTGCTGAGTTTCACATCTAGAGCCTGGTTTTGGGGAGAAGGTGGCACAGCAGAGCCCACAGTACCAAAAGCAGCACCGGGCATTTTATTTTTATTACTTTGGTGGCTCCAAACTCCAGTCTGGAGATCCCACCCCACCAGCACATGGAAGCAGAAGTGTGAAGCTCAAAGGTATTGCTGAAGAGGAAGGCTGGCACCTGGAGCACCAGGTTTGGGAACAAAGCAGCTCCTTTGTACAGCAGGGATCTGGGCTGTGGCTCCACAGGATCCCTAATTTCACAGTCACACTGGAGCTCCACCTCTGGAATGCTGTGCCGAGGGAACAGCAGCGCTGGGAATTCTGTGCTGGTGCCATGAACCATTGCAGTGGAAGGTGTCCCTGCCCATGGCAGGGGGAGCAATGAGATGAGCTTTAAGGTGCCTTCTCAAGAACCCCTTTGGTTCTGTTCCTCCTGGGATTCTGTGCACCTACCGTGCGTTTCCTGTGGATGTTGAGGATGTGGATGTCTGCACTCCGATACTCCTCGTCATGCCTGTCCAGGGGAATTCTTTCCAGCTCAAAGTCTCTCTGAAGCAGCTGTTCCACAAAGAACGTTTCCACAAATGGTTCCTCCACAACCATTCCAGACATTCCCACCCTCATTTGAACTGTTCCAGCACTAACTCAAAGCTACAAGAGACATGCAATACTGCAGAAAAATCTTTTTAAGCTGGTGGTAAAACACTCCTGGAGGGATTTAAAAGATGTGTGGATGTGGCACTTGGGGTAGTGGTGACCTTGACAGTGCTTGGGGGGGATGGCTGGACTTGATGATCTCAGAGGACTTTTCCAACCTAAATGATTCTGTGAATCCATGCTTCAATCCCTGAAATGCTAAGCCAAACCCCAGCACCTGCCTGTCTGCCAACCTTCTCAACAATGGGAGAGAAAAAAAAACAGTCTAAAATCCCCCAGCATCAGCTCTGGGATGTGCTCAGATTGCCTGGGCTGAACCTGGCAAGGAAGGAAATAAATCACAAAAAAAACCCAAAAAACAAAACAAAACAACAAAAAAAACCCAACCAGAAACACCAACACCTGCTGTGTTTGTTGTGGAAGCAGCACCTCAGCAGAGCTCAGCACAGCCCTCCTCACTGCCAGGGCCCCACAGGAGTGTGAAGCACTAATTATCAAACAGGTGCTTTGATTAACATGTACCAATCCCCTGGAATTCTCACCCTTTCCCCTTTTTTTGCAGTATTATAGTTATTATACATAATCCTGCACAAGAGCTGCTTCTCAACAGTCACCACAGAGTTAAACCTGCACTGACCATCACCCCCCCACAGGTGTTCCCTGTGTTGCTTCTCCTCACCTGCACACAAGATACACCTGGAATATTCAATTAAAACACCTATTAATGGGCTCTCATTAGAAAAAAGGATTTTTTTTCAGAAGGCTCTCTATCACTCAGGACAGTGTTTTGAGTTCCTGAGCAAAACTTTGTATTTTCCCTCTGCTTTCGATGGAACAGCCTGAAAGAAAATGTGCTTAAAAACCACTTACTTCAAAGTATTTTCTCTCAATTTCAGGGTTCTTCCCCATAGTCCTCTGTTCATAGCAGCACAGGACACAAGTGTCAGGGCCTGTCAGGTCCTTCAGGGTCTTCAGCAAGGGCTCCAAGGACTGCCCAGAAAAGGTTAAACATTTCCCATGTGGATTTCAACTTAATTTCACTGGTTATGATACCCTCTAAAGTCTTCACCCAAGAGAGAACCTCCCAGTTTTACTTTCCAAGGAGTTATTTTTAGCACTTGAACTGGGACAAGAAGAACATGGGGGGAAAGCTGGGAAGCAGAGGAGAAAGGGGGACTCAGAGGAAAAAGTGTTCTCCAGACTGACCAAGAAAACTGAACTGGAATCCAAGCCAGAAACATCCCACACTGCTGAGTGGGCACTTCCTCGAGGCAAGGAGTATTCCTCAGTGTGTCTCAAAAGTGAGAGTTTTCTCAATTACTCCTGAAGGATGGCTCAGATCCAGACCACAATGGAGGGAAATGGGACCAACAGGCAGGGACTCGATGCCAGGGGCTGGTAAAGCCATTGGAAGGGCACTGGGACATGGGGTTTTTTCAGGTTATTTCCCTTTTCCTGCAGCTTTCCCTGCACATCCTACAGAGCTCCAGCTGAGGACACGAGGCAGACTGCAACAACCACTCAGCTGTAGCAGGATTTCTCCTCTTGCCTTCCTAAAGAAAGTGTGAGGAGAACCCAAACAGCAGCTGTTGCACTTTTTGAATTTCATTTACCAATGATTTCAATAGTTCACATTTTGCTTCACCATTCCCAATCTTAAAAAAAAAGGGGGGGAGGAGGCACAAACATTAAATTTGGGATTTTTAACATAAAAATAGTCTCTGGTACTATGTCAAATGGCCTTATTAAAAAGGCCTTACCCAGTCTTGTTCTATGTATTTCTTTAAACCACAGGGACCATGACACGAGCACAATATTTATCTGAACACTCCTCATGCTAAACACACTGATCCCACCCGTTCCCAAAAAAACATTTTTGTAGGGGTTTAGCAAAGTTCTCATTTACCTCCTCATAGTAAATACAATCAGCCATGAGTATATAATCAGGGGGAGGCTGAAATGCTGTTACATCTTCACCCCTAAAAAAGAACAAACAAAAAAACCCAACAAAAAGTGAAAACAAGTTTTAGTAATAACACATACAAAAGGACTGAGCATAAAGTTAACTACTGTGTTCTCTTATTGCCTCTCACAGGGGTGTTTTGAAGTTGTTTAGCAATTTAACAAAGCCAGTGAAGAATCACAGAATCCCAAAATGGATTGGATTGGAATGGAACTTAAATCCCATCCCATTCCACCCCCTGCCATGGCAGGGACACCTTCCACTATCCCAGGCTGCTCCAAGCCCTGTCCAACCTGGCCTGGGACAGATCCAGGAGCAGCCACAGCTTTTCTGGGAATTCCATCCCAGCCAGGAGTTCCCAATTCACAACATCCCATCTAAACCGAGTCTTTTCCCATCCGAACCCAGAATCCCCGTTAAAGCTGAACAGAGACATTAAATAAAGGCTCATACAAACCATTTCAGTACCTTGGCTCGGACGGACCCTGTGACCAGGTGCTTGTTATTCTCAATATTAACCAACAACAGCTCCTGCAGCTCCTCCAGGTCTGTGACGGTCACGTTCGCCCTGTAACACACACACGTGGTTAGAGACGGCAGAGGACACTGCGAACAGCACAGAAAGCAGAGTTTAAAGGAATCGAAAGGGTCTGAGGGAGCAAATAGCGCCGGGCAGGGACTCCCCTCACCCCAGCGTGGCTGCCATGATGCCGACAGCGCCGGTGCCCGCGCCCAGCTCCAGGACGTGGCGGCGAGCGAGGGGACAAGCGCCGGTCTCCAGGAACTTGGCGAGCACCAGCGCAGCGTCCCACACCACACAGCCCACGCCGCCGGCCGCCCTCTGCTCCAGGCGCAGCGCCGGCCCGGCCCTGCGCTCCAGCTCCCTCACGAAACCCGCCATGGCCGCGGCTCTGAGGCGGCGCGGCCCCGCCCCGGCAGGAAATGGCGGGAGGGCCGTGAGGGGACGGAGCTGCCCGCCCGCTCTGCGAGGAGGGAGAGGCTGCGATCCATGGGCATGGAGGCTTTTCCAGCCCCAATTATTGCAGGGTTCTGTCAGCCGTGTGTCAGGCGGGATGATTCCGGGATTGTGTCCAGGAATGGTTCCGGGATTCCGCCGGCCATGTCCGTGAGGGAGCGCGGAGCCCTCAGGACCCTCCGTCCCTCAGCCCGCCTGAAGGTTCTGTTACAAACCGCCCTCAAACAACTTATAAAAGGTCTTAAAAAAACTACAAAAACGGTCTTAATAAACTTACAAAATATTATAAAAGGTCTTAAAAAACCTACAGAAAAGGTCTTAATAATAACTATATACAAAAAGTCTTTAAAAACCCACAGAAACGATCTTGATAAACTTACAAAATGTTGTAAAAGGTCTTAAAAAACCTACAAAAAAGGTCTGAATAAGTATATACAAAAAGTCTTTAAAAACCTACAAAAACGGTCTTAATAAACTTATAAAATGTTCTAAATGGTCTTAAAAAACCTACAAAAAAGGTCTTGATAAACTTACAAAAAAGTTTTAATAAGCCTACAAAAGTCTTAGTAAGTCTGCAAAAAAAGTTCTTAATAAACGTGCAAAAAGGCTTTAACAAACTTGAAAAAGGTCTTAATAAATGTACAAGGTCTTCAAAAACCTATGAAAAAAGTCTTCATAAAGCTGTGAAAAAGGTTTTAATAAACCCACAGAAAAGGCCTTAGACTACAAAAAGGTCTTAACAAACCTACAAAAAGGTTTTATTTAATAAACTCGCAGAAAAGGTTTGAATCAAGCAACTGAGTATGAGTTGATTCTGTGCTGACATCTTGAAATGCAAAGGTTTTAGATTTTCCCCCCCTTGTGTATGGGGAAGAAAGTTTTTTTATTACTTAATTTCCTTATTTCTTTTAGACCAATGGGAGGCCTCTTGTCAGCAGATTCCCCTTGAGGGAAGAAGTTTTCTGAGGGAATTGCCTTTTCCCACACAAGCCAACTTCAAACCCAAAGTTCACATTTTTCCCCCTCAAGCAGTTTTTTTGTTGTTTTTTTTTACCTACCCCTCTAATTATGAAGTAACTGAAATGTTATTTATTGCTCTCTTGAACCACGCTGGTGGCAATCTCACTGCCTTTGACCACTTTCCATGGCCATGTTTTATTTTACTGTGGAAAATTCAAAATGGTTCTGGCATAAGCACTTGCACAGGAAGGCATAAAGCTGACATCTGTACATTCTAAAATGTGGGAGAGAATTTTTTCCTCTTCAACAACACATGAAAGTCTGAAAAATTATTATTATTTGTTTAGCAATAGCTGTTGGTGGGGACTTCAAAAGAGTTAATGCAAAGAATTCCACTTTTTCAAGTAATCTTCCATTTCCTACCTGCACTCCTAGTTTGTGCATATCAAATTTGGGACTTCTTGAACCTTGTTTTAGCAAAATGAAGCAGCTCTCCTATAAAAAGTGTGGTTTGCCCCTTGTGTGTGAATGGATTCCAACCCTCTCTTCTTCCTCATGGAAGAAGCATGGAGGGGTCAGGCAGTAGAAAAAGACTGTTCAAGAGACAGATGGAAAAATAATTCTTCCCAGGAGAAAACTGTTCCAAATTCCAACCCAGGGAATCTCTAATGAACATCCCTCCTCAGCCATAGCTCCTTTCTAAAAAGGAGAATTTTCCAAATGGAAAATGCCCAAGACAATGGGAGCAGCTTAGGCAGACTGAGGAGAAGCTGGAGATTTGGAAGCCTGGGATGGACCCAGCTCTCACAGGCAGAAGGAAAGCCAAAGTGAGAACAGCAGCTTGGAAAATTGGGGCATTTTGTTTTGTCAAAAATGCAATTCCCAACCTTGTCCTTACAAGGAACACGCACTGCTCAAGCTCTTAAAAATTAAGACTGGGGTGATTTATTAATCTTGTTAAGAACTCTGATACAAAGCACAGTAAAAGGCCACAAACCAGTAAATAAAATGTGGCTTGTGAAGGCCACTTTATAAATGCTGCTACAGAACTACCAGTAAAACAGACTCACTCTCACACCAGTTCAAACACAGGGGTTGGACTGGCAAAGAAAAGTTCCATTCACTTATCAGTTTAAAAAGTTTAATAAAGCTTTAAGTGTTTGCTGGTTTAAATGCTACCAATTTCCAAAGTGGATTCACGAGTTAAGTGTAGATCTAAAGGGAGTTATTAGGTCTGGAAGGCAAGACTGATCCCAAGCCAGAGGAAACGCTGCTGGCTGGATCCAATCCCAGGAGTAGCAGACTGTGTTATAGGCCTCGAAGTCAATTCAATTTATACATGTCATTAGCATATCTGTAAATATACAATATAAACAATTGTACAGGAGCATAGCTTTGTTCTCCACAACAGCAGACAAACTCTTTAGCTTAAGACACCTTTGCCTATCAAAACAAAAAAGGCACAACTGAACAGGATGCACGTGAAGTACTCGGGAGCCTCCCCGATATCCCAGACGGGTACTCCTCCTTCATCCTTTCTCCAAAGAACCAAGACCAACCCAGTATTTTGGTATTTAGATTTCAACTTTTTTTTTTTTTTTCCTTTGTCTTCAGCAGCAAATCAATGGCAATTAAGACATGGCATGAGAATATTCCAGAACAGGAGCTGTCACTCAGGAACCTCCAGCCTTACACCAAGGCTTGTGGCCAAGAGGTTTCAAATCTGTGACGCTCTGGATCCTCGTGGTGTGTGATCATCCCATTGCTGGGTTTCTTTAATTAAAAAAAAAGGCCACTAGTGCTCAAATTTAAAAAAAAATTCCACAGACGCACCTTTTTTTTTTTTTTTTTTGGCTCAGTGCAATTAAATGATGTCAGTTTAAATTCACTTAGTGTAGTTTACAGTGCAAAAGGTCTATTTTGTGTCCTGGCAGAACGGTCGGCACTGAGGATGTGAACCAAGGCAATGTTGCTGCTCACCTGAGGGTAATGCTGTCCAACCACACAGGTTGGAATGTGTGTAGTCTGATTTTTTTTTCCAATTTAAACCTTTTTTTTTTTTTTTTTTGATCAGCAGCACTTTAAGAACATAATTTGTGAAAATACTAAAATACACTGCCTTTTTTTTTTCTCCTTTGAATAAATTAAAAAAAAAAAAAAAAAGAGGAACTTTACAAATAGTATTCCAGTGTCAATGACTACTATGGCTAAGGTCATTGAGGCGTTTCTGCATTTTCTAGCAAAGACAGTCTGTGCAAAGGAGGGTGGGAGAGCTCCCTTTTGTAAGTCTTTGGTGGCAGTTTTGGTAGCTGAGGGCTGGAGTTGTGCCGGGGCGGCACGGGGGGCACGGGAGGCTGGGCCAGGTTGTTGTGGCTGGCGCTGAGGACGCAGCAGCGGCGCAGCACCCGGGGAGAGGGGGTGCTGGGAGGGGTGGCCGGAGAGCTGGGGCCCGAGCCGGGCTCCCGCAGCCGCTCGGGGTCCCGGGGGAAGCGTCCCAGCGGCGGCGGCTGCAGGCTCAGCGGGCAATTGATGAAGTGCTCGGGCGGCCGCAGCGGCACCGGGGGTGGGGTGTCGGGCACGGGGTCCCGGGGGGGCGGAGGAGGAGGGCTGTGCAGGGGCTGCTCCAGGGCAGTGGTGTAAGCAGGAACTCGAGGTTGGATCTTTGGAGGCGGTGGCTGCCGAGGTGGGATTGCTGGAGGATCGTCGTCCGATTTAGGATTTCCCTGCGGTGTCACGGAGGAAAAGGAGGTGTAAGAAACGGGGAGCACGGAATGCCAGAGTGGTGTGGGCTGGAAGGGAACTTCAATCCCATCCCATTCCTCTCCCTTCTATCCCTTCCACTATCCCAGGTTGCTCCAAACCCCATCCAACACGGCCTTGGGCACTTCCAGGGGCAGCCACAGTTTCTCTGGGCACCCTGTGCCAGGGCCTCCCCACCCTCCCAGCCAAGAATTCCCAGTTCCCAAAACCCCATCTAAACCTACTCTCCCTCAGTTTAAAGCCATTTCCCTTGTCCAGATATGTGGATAAAGAGCAATCTTCAGACAGATGAGGAATTCTCCTGACCTCTGCTAGTGGTGCTGTCAGAAACATGGCAACTGGAGCTTTGATGGGAACATGACCACTGTGTTCCTGAAATTCCTAGCCCAGTTTGGACACTGGGAACCCAAAAGATGAAAAAGGGAAACTGGAGCTCTGCATCTCAAAGTCTTTTAGACTGACAGAGCCCTGGTTTAGATCAACGGTTGAACTTGACAATCTTAAAAGTCTTCTCCAAGCTAAATGATTCTAGATACTCCCCAATTTATCACTGAAGTTTTTCAAACCAGGACAGCAATACCTTAGCATTGGAAGCTTCCTGATCCATCTTTTTCCGTGGAGGAAGTGGAGGAGGGTTCTGAGGCTCATCACTCAGTTTAGGGAAGCTCCCCCAGGAGCTGAAGAAAGTCTCTGGAGAGGGAAAGGCAGATCTTTTACTCCTTGTGCAATACCTGAGGAACATATTCTGGAATATCAAGTCAATCTCAAAGCAACTCAAATAAGATCTTTGTGCTCCACAGCAACATGAACCAGTAACTTCAGCAGCACGAAATTCTTTAATTCATTGCTTTAATCGGATCAAGCCTCACAAAGTGTTCTCCCATGTCCAGTATCAAAGAAAGGCATCAGCAGTCAGCAGGCAATGCTGAGGGACAGGAAAATAAATCCAGGGAACTCCAAGTGAGTTTTTACAGAAGGAGAAAAAAATCCTCAAATTAAGAAACAGCACAATCCCTGACTTGTACTGGTGGTTTCTGTCACACCTTTGCTTTTCCTCTTAGGAGTGCACTGAGCTCTGTGTTTGCATCAGACCTGTGCTTTCCAGCTGGAAATTAAATTAATAATATTTTAAAGAAGGTATGTGGAATAAATAAAAAGAACAGCTGAAAACACAGGTGAATGCAGGATATCCCTCACAGGTGTGGTACAGAAAGTGTCTCTTCCTTCCCAGCAACACAGCAGTTATTTTCACTAAATGGAATTAGCAAATTATCAAGTTGCTTTATTTGTAGCTTTAGTCAAACAGAACAATCATCAAGGACTTTCAAAATAGAAGGAAAATCACGTGAGAGCCTGGAGATAAAAACACAACCCAAACTAAACCAGCAGTTTAAGTTTTAGGCTGTACATTTTTTACTGGACCTCTGATCTAAAAGGAACCCTTCTGAATGCAGCCCACATTGTCATCCCAGATTTCAGATTTTTATCCCCACTGAGCTCTCCTGAACCCAGGGAAGGCAGAGTTAAATATTTAACAGTTCCAACACTCACTCGACTGAGGCAAGTTCACGGGAGCGAAGATGCTGTTGTTACCTGGGAAATAAAAAAATCCATTAAACAATTTCCAGACAGAACCACTGCACTGCAGCACATAACAATTGCTTGAATAACCTGAGAGATCAGAAAAAAACCCAAATATATCTATTGCAAACATGAATGAAAATTTCCCGTGTAAAACGTTCCTGAACTGGAGAATTTAAGCCCCGCTGGGAATTAATTTAATTACTTCAAATTCTGCAATTTGTTTTTTTAAAGGCTGGCACACTCCCTCAATGAATTTAGGAAGCCTGAGGGGCAGCAGTAACGATTGTGAGACGTGTGTACCATAAGAACTGTTGAGATCAATGTCTAAGAAGACGCTGAACTCGGAGGACGCCGACACGGGGGGCGTTGAGGGGGTGTTGGGGGAGGTCGGAGCCGACGCCGTGGTCTCCTGCTCGGCCTCGGTGATCCTGCTGAAGCTGATCTTGCTGGGCTCCTTCTCCAGGGGCAGGGGGTGGCTCCTCAGGGTGCCCGAGGTGGAGCCGTGCCTGCCCGTGTTGGGCCTGATCCCCGGCGATTTCAGGGGATACGTTGTTTTCCTGGGCTGGAGACAGGGGAGCTGTTAGCACTGCAA